GTGGTCCATTTCACCAAACCCCCCCCCCCCCCCCCCCAAAGAATTAAATAATACAGAAACTGCTAGCAAAAGGCTCGCTTTTAGCACTGATAGCATATATTTAATGCAGTTGTGACAGCTCATGGAAAAGTGGTGCTGGACATAACTATCGCCCAAACCAACCCTATACATAAAACACAATAAACTGCAGACTTAAAAAAAAAAAAAACAGGAGCCTTAAGCCATAAAATGCTAGTGTGCAGAGCATATTAGCACATTATGGCAGACTTGCCTGCGAAACTGATCCCCTTCAACGCCCTGATCCTCTCTCTCGGGTGCTTTCATCTTCGGCTCAGTTCTCATTTCTAGGTTAAGAGTCTTCGGTCACTTGATTGGTCAGACCATAATGACATAACTCCCATGCATACACACAAGGGTTACGTCATCTTGGCATACCAGGTTTGTGCACTGAGCTGCAAATGCACTTATCAGTGTACAGAAATATTTAAAAAATGCAGAATAGTAGAAAGAAAGTTTTATGGTGGAATGGACTTAGACTCTTATGCCATAAAAAGCCTACTAATGGGCATTCATTTAAAAATGTTCCTTTATTTTCACTTTAAGTCATACCACACTGCCTTCATCATATGCTATCATCCTTGTAGAATACATGATGTGTACATTGTTACTGCCCTTGGGTGATACTGCCACCAATAAATGTAACTGATCTATGCTTCCTTTTCACAAAATACACAAATGTTCCTTTTTGCAACTGTACAGAATGTATTGTTTTATAAACATAAATTATGATCATCACAATACAGCAGCCCACCAAAGAATAAGCAGCAATAAGCTCCAGCCTAAATTGTGGCCTTACTTTTGGTTATTATGTTCATCTTTTTAATAATGTAATTATTGTGCACGAACCTTGCAGAGGGTGTCAGTTTGTGAAACAAATGAACTGCTCTTTTTCTTCTCTTTGTTTATTTCAGATACAAGTTTCATGATGGTTTCCCTGCTGGCTTTCGATTCTGTCTCATGGACGTTGACGGTTTCCTTTAGCGTGGCAACATTACCCTTTAATTCTATATTCTCTTTCAACAGATCACTTGCCTGGAAAACATAAAAAGGTTGTTGTAATTTGGTGACTCAATCAATCCCTACACTACCTAATATTTGCAAATAAATCATCAAATAAGGGTTAACTTCTCATTTCTGTTTAGGTGTTTTGTCCAGAGTTCTTCTTTAAGGCCCACCCCCAGATAAACCAAAAAACTACTCTAGAAATGGGGTTACCCCAGGTCCAGTTTGCAGTCGAGGCTCGGTCCAACACTGCTGCCATCTGCCCAGCCGCTTCGTCCAAGTCAAACAATGTTCCTCTTTGACCAAATTTCTGCCTAAAAACACTTACTTCTCCTTTTTACAGCAGGACCTTTTTCCTTCATTCATGCACAAAAAAATGATTGGTTAAATTGAGAAGTTGTATTTTTACCACTACTTTTCCTTTGTACTAGCTGTTCAGAATAACAAATGCAATAATTCATAAGTTAGATTAAAAGGTTGCACACCATTCTCAGATCAAAAAGAAGGACAACTGAAGAAGGACATAGGGATTAGACATGTGCGATTCGTTTCGTTCCGAATCGAAATTCGGATGAATTTTCGGAAATTCGGACATTCGGATGTATCCGAATTCCGAATTACAGACATAACGAATGCAAACGAATCCGAATTTCCATTTCCGAAATTCGGTAGCGTTAGTACGAACGTTTGTTTCGTTTTCTGTTCTTATTCGTTTCTTATTCGTTTCGTTCGTTGGAGCAAAGTGACATTAGAGAAGGGGAAAAATATTTTTTCCCCCTCAAATGTCACTTTTGCTGCAAACGAACGAACGAAACCAATAAGAAACAAATAAGAACAGAAAACGAAACGAACGTTCGTACTAACGCTACCGAATTTCGTCCGAATCCGAATTCTGAATCCGAATTGACTTTCACACCCGAATCCTGAAAAACGAAATAACACAAATCCGAATTTAAAACGAAACGAAACTAAACACATTTTTTGGCAGTGCACACGTCTAATAGGGATTTGGTTCCAAAAGAGGGACAGTCCCTCCATATAAGGGACAGTTGGGAGCAATATAAACCACACAGTAAATATTTGTAGCTGCTTACGTGAAGTGATAGGGAAAGTGTTACTGTATACTGAAGTGATTAGAAACTACATAGTAAGGGGTTAATGCATAATGACTGCCATAAAATGGAAGAAAGTGAACTGACCCTAAGGCATAAATATATGGGGTCTATTCACGAAGCTGCCGAAGAATCTGGCCATAGCTTCGGCCGATCCTTCGGCTAGCTTCGGCCCCAGGACCCCTTCGGTTCAGTAGAACCGAAGGGGTGCTGTACGGGCTATTCACAATAGCCCGTACAGCTCCCGATCGTGGCCGAGCGGCTCAGCCGAGCCGAACGCATATGCATCGGCTCGGCTGAGCCGTGCTGAAAGCCGAAGCTGGCCGGCCGACAGCCTGCTTCTGACAGCTCACAATAGCCCGTACAGCTCCCGATCATGGCCGAGCGGCTCCGCCGAGCCGAACGCTGCTTCTGACAGCTGGGCGGAGCCAGTCGTGATCTTACGGCTGGCTCCGGCCACTTTCAGAGAGATCAGCGTCCCTGGTTAACTGCTAACCAGGGACACTGATCTCCAAACAGCAAACTCTCGTTGGCGCCCCGGGAGTCTCCCGCTCCCGGCCGCCAAGGAGAGAAACTTCGGCTAGCTTCGGCCCCAGGACCACAATAGGACCACTATTCACAATAGCCCGTACAGCTCCCGATCATGGCCGAGCGGCTCCGCCGAGCCGAACGCTGCTTCTGACAGCTGGGCGGAGCCAG